GTGAAATTAGTATCACTAACCCTCCATTTTATCCTTGGTATGTGTGAAATTGTATATATGGTACAATATTGCTGGAAGACACAAAATATGAGTGCTGTGTATTTTTTTTCTTGAGGTCAGGCAGCTGTCTCGCTGTATTAAACTGGGAGATTTATTTATTTTTGTCTATATGTGAAAGCTTCTGTGCATTTTTAATGAGTTGTACTTGCCATATTATGCAACCACAATTTATATTTTGAATGGCCCCAAAAGCAGTGGCCGAGAATGGCGATTTTTGAAATGTTGTGACAGACTGCAAGTGTGAAAAGTGCAGCACAAACTAGCACTGTTCAGTGATCCCGCCCACATTCCGCCGCATGCCTGTTATAATGGAAACGCAACGGAGGCAAGTGGTGTGGCGCCAGGCAATAGCGGAGTGGTGTGGTGCGATTTGAGGCTAATGGAAAAGAGGCATAAGTCACTCTGGAGTATAAATTGCACCAGTCAAATAAATGCATCAAGAAGAACCAAAAAAAGGGCAAATAATAGGCTTCACTTGATCAAGGTTTTGGGGCCAATGGAGAAAAAAAAAATTAGATGACGCAATATGTCTATTGAAATAATTCATTTACAAATATTTTTATAAATGCTATTTTATCTAAAAGGCTACATTGTATATTAATGAATTAATTGCTGGAGCCTATCCCAACTGACTTTGGGCGAAAGGCGAATTACACCTTTAACTGGTCGACAGTCAGTCACAGGCCCCATTTGGAGACAAACAACCATTCACACCCACATCCACACCATCACTGAGTAGGAACCGATGCCCGCACACAAGTCAGTCTCTTCCCTACACATACGCATACACATACATATATAAGGTTTTCCCTGCGTTCAAAATTACGTGGTGGTCGCCTCCAGCTAATTTTGTGAAGACTGCCCCTAGTCAGACCGATTGATATCGCTCAACATAGCGTAAAGCTCCAGCTGTGCTGATTGAGCGATTGATGTCCCTCTGCGGCAGCGACATATTTTAACTGCAGTTGCAGCATTGCGCCACTATGGAGGCGCTACAGTAAATAGCTGTGCACAGGAAACACCTGAAGCAACTACCGAAGAAGAAACAGATCGAATCATGTTTTTCCCCACTAGTTGGTGCTATCGACGTCCTGCTTTTACCTTGGAGATATCACAAACAGGTAAATATTGGCAGGTTGTGTTTTTTTTTTTTTGCCTGCAGGTTGTGTTTATTGTCAAAGTAAAATTTATCATTTTTTGCATTGCAGATATGGCAGGGAAAATCAGCCACTCATGAGGAAGAAAGCCAAGTCCGAGTGAAACGCGCAGAGAAATTTACACAACCGGCAGTTACTGTAATAATTCATGATGGTGACAACATGTGGAAATTTGGTCTCAAACACTGGTGATAGTGAGGGCCGCTATGCAGGACAGGACAAGTCGCCAAGGCGAGGCTACATAAATCAGTTTCCAATTAGGAGCAGAACAACGCAAAGCCAACATATACGCGATCGAAACTTTTTTTATTCCTCCTTCCATATCATCTTAAAAACACACGAGCCAGTGGCTTTGACAAGCAGTGGCTAAATGAATTTTCCTGGCTCAGCCAAGCACTGTTATTTATGCCAAAATCACTGTGCCCAAACACAGCAGGCAGTCACTTGTGAGACAGCCATCAACCAACTACAGGCTGGACACATTAAAAAGACATGAGGTGACACCCATCCACAAAGCAGCAGAAGAGAAGTACAAGTATATTAATGATGGTAGTACCTAAAAACACTCAACTAATAAAGTTACAAAAACTAAAATAATATAGGTAATATAGATTTTGGTAAATAGTTTAAGATTTTTTTTTTCTTTAATGGAGGAAACTCTGCAGCGCGCTACTGCAGCGCAGGTGGACATGGACCACAGTGCGCTTGAAAGCTGCTTCAAAATAATCTGTGTCTCAAACTTAAGTGGCTCCACCACACAAGATATGAGTCCACCACTCTCCGAGGCAAGTTTTAATAAATGACTGCGTTAACATGATAATAGTCATATTCTTATTGGAACTCTTCACTTCAAGTATGTTTCCTGTAAAAGAAAGTGAGTCCGTTGAATTTACAGAATATATGCACGTCATGGCGCATGGTCAGGATGGTATTGCCTCTGCCTTAATTGGAGCCAGGAAAAAACCTGCATACATATATGCAAACATACATTCGTATAGACAGACAGACAGATAGACTCAAAATCATGTTGAGTATATAGAGAAAATTCAGATTAAAGGACGTTATGATAAAGTTTTTTTTTTTTTGCCTGCAGGTTGTGTTTATTGTCAAAGTAAAATTTATCATTTTTTGCATTGCAGATATGGCAGGGAAAATCAGCCACTCATGAGGAAGAAAGCCAAGTCCGAGTGAAACGCGCAGAGAAATTTACACAACCGGCAGTTACTGTAATAATTCATGAAGGTGACAACATGTGGAAATTTGGTCTCAAACACTGGTGATAGTGAGGGCCGCTATGCAGGACAGGACAAGTCGCCAAGGCGAGGCTACATAAATCAGTTTCCAATTAGGAGCAGAACAACGCAAAGCCAACATATACGCGATCGAAACTTTTTTTATTCCTCCTTCCATATCATCTTAAAAACACACGAGCCAGTGGCTTTGACAAGCAGTGGCTAAATGAATTTTCCTGGCTCAGCCAAGCACTGTTATTTATGCCAAAATCACTGTGCCCAAACACAGCAGGCAGTCACTTGTGAGACAGCCATCAACCAACTACAGGCTGGACACATTAAAAAGACATGAGGTGACACCCATCCACAAAGCAGCAGAAGAGAAGTACAAGTATATTAATGATGGTAGTACCTAAAAACACTCAACTAATAAAGTTACAAAAACTAAAATAATATAGGTAATATAGATTTTGGTAAATAGTTTAAGATTTTTTTTTTCTTTAATGGAGGAAACTCTGCAGCGCGCTACTGCAGCGCAGGTGGACATGGACCACAGTGCGCTTGAAAGCTGCTTCAAAATAATCTGTGTCTCAAACTTAAGTGGCTCCACCACACAAGATATGAGTCCACCACTCTCCGAGGCAAGTTTTAATAAATGACTGCGTTAACATGATAATAGTCATATTCTTATTGGAACTCTTCACTTCAAGTATGTTTCCTGTAAAAGAAAGTGAGTCCGTTGAATTTACAGAATATATGCACGTCATGGCGCATGGTCAGGATGGTATTGCCTCTGCCTTAATTGGAGCCAGGAAAAAACCTGCATACATATATGCAAACATACATTCGTATAGACAGACAGACAGATAGACTCAAAATCATGTTGAGTATATAGAGAAAATTCAGATTAAAGGACGTTATGATAAAATATCCTTTATTTGTCCCACATTGGGGAAATTTACAGTCTACAGCAGCAAGATTGGGTAGAAAGAAGAAAGAAGAAAAACAAAGTGTTCGCATTCACAAAATAAATGTTACAGTTTCGATGTACACCGTTCAATTAAGTGCAATATAAATATAGATATAGATAAGGTGGCTGATTTGCCCATATTACATGTAAGTCATCAAGTGCAATATGTATGCCTATTTATGCATTTTGGTAAACTTTTAAAATGTTCAAGTGTGTTCAACAAAGAGGTTTCATATGAATTAATGTTTTGGGTAAATATTTGTAGTGTGTAGACTTTCCTTTGTAGTCATATGGCACAATGACAGTACTGTCAACTGAAATAAAATGTTTTGCAAATCAACGCTTCAGCACAAATAAAAAGTCTCTATATTATGTCTAACGACTCATATTCCTTCATCATTAATTGCTACCCTGTTACACTGAGAAAAGTGAACTCATCTTTCTAAGATCAAGCATCATTGATTTTTATCAATTCTGAGTTAATCTCTTCTCTCCTCCCATGAATTTCAATTACTTTCAAACATGATCTAAACAATAATGGTCATTAATTTGGTGTTCAACCATTCGGCAGGACTGCTGGAAATAGCAATTCTGAAGATAAACACGAACTTCGCTTTTATGAGCAATACGTTACGATGATATATTAGGACAACTATATGGAAGCACACAGTCTTCTATTAGAGGACTGCTTTATTGTACAAATCACGAGATAGCAATAAATCGACAGGGAATTGTGATGTGTTCCCTTAAAAGTTACAGAATCACGTTCAAACCACACGCAGCAGGCCTGTCATCGACTACACAACAATAATTACGTCACACGAGATGAAAACTCTACAAACTCCCGAGTATGAATTAAGTCATTGTGTTACGTAAATAGTATTAACGCTGCTAATACACTATCACATCTAAATTATTAGTGTGTCAAACTAAACATTCAACACAACGTTGATTTATTTGCAAACTGGAAACGGCACGTTATCACGAATACAAAACACATAGTATATTGCAAAGCAGTGTTTACACACGCAAACCGGCCGCTAGTTCGTGCATTTAGTAGTTATGAGCAGGCTAGCAAAGTTAGACGAGCAACACAATTGTAAAGACGCCAAGTAAAGGGTCGACATAGTTGAAAATGTGCCTATCCTTGAGGTATGCTGTGTGCTGCCGTGATTTCAAATCGGACACATGGTTGTATAACGTATTTAGTGGATAAAGTTGGCGTACGCCAGCCACTCCACGGCTGTGACAGCTAGCTTGGTCCGCTAGCACCTTTAGCCATTAGCAAGCTTAGCCTAGCCATGTAGCACGTGTTTGTGAATTATAAAATAATCAACTGGCTCTGACAATGGCCGGCTAACTGAGAATGCCGCGGTGACGCTCGAAAGCCGATCGACGCGACGCCTCCTCGCCCTTGATCGTTCGATCAAACGAATTGCTGCGACGTTTGCGTAGCGTGGAAAGCCCAATAATGCTATGTAGGTTTCTCCCCAAAAGAATGGCTAGACCCTGTCGTCCACCAACACAAGAGACAGACCACCCCCAAAACCTATGGACAGAGAGCAATGGAGGCTAACTAACCTCTGCGGCGGAGTAAACGGGGACCATTCGGTGGCGTTGTAGCACAGTCAGCGAACGTCCCAATCCGCGTCAACGAGGTCCGGTGACGCTTTTACCGAGCTTCTCGCTTCGATGGCGCGCGTCTCCCGTGAATTACTCCACACCAAAGAATAGTTTTCCTTGTCATTTGTTCCGCTGAAGGTTGCGCTCAGTCGTGCCTGGTCCTGCACAATGCGCTGATCTGCTGCTCCCTGCGGCCGACACACCACGGAGGGACTGAACCGCCTCCCTCTCCCTCTTTCTCTCTCCCTTTCTCTCGCTCGCCCTCTCAATAAAGCTGCATGCTTTCTCTTCCCTCCTCCGGGCAAAATTTGATGGCGAGTGATGATGTCCTCATGTCACTCGTCATTAGAGTTCCACTTGCATGTGCACTTAAATGGTCCCGTTTGAATGTTTATTCAGACAGTCACAAACTCACACGTTGACGAGCACAAACAAGCTGATAATTATCAAGTCACGAGTCTTGAACTCATCTTTAGCCTTCAAACAATGGATCATATTGTTTCCAGTTTGCTGTCACTGTGACTGAGCCGCAGTGTAACAGTACACTTCTCGCACTACCAAAGTACATTGTGTGGTATTTTGTTTGTCGATATAATTCAGTTGTTCCCAAGGGTGCAGTGGCATACCGTACTGTGCCGTGAAAAATCATCAGAATACAATATCACTTAATTTGCCTAAAAATGAGATATTAATTCCAAATATATCTGTGCAGCTGTCTCTGCCTGTGGCGTCTGCGCTTCCATTGCTTTTCCATGTAATGGTAGAAGATAAACCTGTGTCCGTTCATACTGTCCAAAGGAATAATGAATGGGCTCCTATGAGTGCAAGCCCAGATTTCACACAGAAAAAGTCAATTTGTGAGTAGATCAACATGAGAGCATCATTTGTCCAGGATTCATACTTGCGGTTACAATTGGCGTTGTTAGGCCTATTTTAAGGTGAACCAAAGCATCTCAAAAATGTTCTTACGCCCTCCACCGCAAATGATTTGGTTGCACTAAAATCTGAATAACCTCAAATTACTTCATTATAAAGTATCCGTAAAAATAATTAAGTCAATATTCAACTAACCTACCACGATTCATGTAAGTACAGTATATCTAAAATCTTTGGGTTCCCTTTACGCCCTCATGTTTTCTGTGTATGTTGCACATACAGCACATTTGACCATAAAGTTGTACTTGACTTGACTTGACCTGATATAAGATAGACAGCGCTTTTGTGTCATTATGACTGCAAGTAGTATCTTCCCCTGCTAGGTTAAAGTTCACACTGTAGGTCTTGATGCTCAATTAGGATTTTTTTTGGTGTGAAATCCGATTTTATTCTTCTGTAAGACTTCACATTACATATCAAATGTGAGCACAGTCTGCTGCGTGAACATATACGTCCCTGACGTGACCCGCATGCGCAGAAGAAGAGACCATGTCACTCGCAACGGAGTGTTTACAGAAGTAAATGCGGTAAAGCGTGTAGGGACCACGGACAAAGTCGGGGCTCATCTTTTTCTCATCTCATATCTACTGAGGAGTGATGCAAGAGGAGGTATAAATATTTTGGGCAAATGAGGGGAGGCGTTTCGATCTGGTAACGCAACAGTGAAACCAAACAATATAAAAGCAAATACAACTATATAAAACATAATAATACATACATATACACACACGCACACACGCACACACGCACACACTCACACACACACACACACACACACACACACACACACACACACACGCACAGTACATACATACATTGGGTAATGTATGTCGGAATACGCCAATCTATTCTTGCAGTTGTACATTTAGAATCCTAGTAAAAAGACTTCTTGGCCATAATTTTAGAGCAATCAAATAAAATTCAGTACCGGTAAGTACGATGGTTACTGAATGTGACAAAAAATGATTTGCAGAGAAAATGTATGCTTGCGAGACGATCAATAAAATAGGTTGACATCATTTACTCTGACAATTTGCGACCCAGTCTTTGGTCCACCCCCCTGTGTATTTACTCTCACAACAGACTGAACGTGAGATTCCAAAAGGGGTTCAACACAGGCTCTTCTAGGGCAGGCCAGGGAGCATACATCTGTGCTGCTTGACGCCCACTGAGAAGTACAAGCTAAGACTACAGCGACTTAACATTGAAGGATGTATTTTGGAGATCAGAGCAGCACACGCTGTGTACATAGCTGATGAGTGTGCTCAAGCCGATGTCCTATTAAATGGGC